ATCCAGAGAAGTGAAGCTGAGTTTGTAGATGTTTGTCTGTGAGGACAGACTGGGACAATAACTCAGGCCTATAAACTAACGGCATCCCAGGCCACACATTCAAATGAGAGCAGCTCTTGTGCTGTGCTCATGCTGGCTGTTCGCTTGAATAAGTTCTCTCATTCTTCTCTGATCTCACCCACTGACAATTTGTTTTCAGCCACTGAACCGCCTCTGACTGTTAATCAAACTATTCTTTGTCAATTCTGAACAAGCTTGCACATGAAAATCCTGGAGGGCAGCTGTGTCTGAGACAGGGGGCCCACCACATCTGGCACCAACAATCAAACCACAATGAGACTCACTTAGATACGGCATCTTGACCACTGTTACGTCAAAGCACAGAGGCTCTGAGGAAGCCTGCATGTTTGCTGTGTTGCACCCATCAGCAGAGCACAGCTGGAGCAGATGTTCCTGATGTGGATGATAAGCGTAGGTGACAGGTTGTTTTAAGAGAAGAAGATTTTCACTGTTTCTAATTCAAATCTACTTATGTAAAGAGCTTCATAGAATCATGTGTCGTAATCTGCTATAATGTCTTTTTCTGCAGTACACAGTTGTCCAGCAGGTGGTGCTGTCTATGTATGTTTTACTGCTTCCTGACATTTGAGTCCACTCAAGTTCTATCTGCGACTGTGAGCCTCCTGTAAGAGATAAACCAACTGGTCCCCAGTGTCAGCAAATGAATTCACATTTTCCTGCAGTAGCTATGATACAGTGTGTATGATAGCAGCCAGTTTATTATATTTATTATATTTGTATTTATCCTGTTTCAAAGGGATGGTGATGGAAGCAACACTGTTTTTAAAGAGCTGATCACCTAAATGTCTGGGGTAGGATCATTTATATTTATTTTAGATTTCAACACAAAGTGTGATAATGTGGCATCCTACGTTTTCTTATACCAGCGTCCTCCTGGAACTACTTTTGTAAATGTAAGAGAGCAAAGGATGAACCAGAACCATTCACTTGAAAACCTCCACGATTGTCTGCATTTGTTTTTTGTTGCTTTAAAATATAATCCATGTGGTCAAAGGGTCAGAGCTGTGGTAAGACCTGAAGCCCAGGGCTGTCTCCTCTGTGTCCCCTGTGCTGCCTTCATCTCTGTTTCCCAGCTCTATATTCAGTAAAAATAGTAAAGGTTGGAAGACTGCCCTGTACTGCTCTGTGGGGTGGGGAGTTCAACTGGAGTTCACAGGAGGCCTGCTCTGTCTTACTTCCTGTTTTCATATTAATGTAATAATATCAACCAGATAATGGACATCATTCTAAAATAAAGACATTTCACAATAAGAGCTGTGCAGCTGTCAGTGGCATCTGTTAGATTTTAGCAGTGACTTTCTGTATGTGTTCATGTAACACTACACTGTGAGAGGACACTGACTATTTACTGGATTTGACTGACTCAAACACATGTTGATCAAATGGACAAAGACCATGATGTCAGCTGTGATTGTAAGACAGTGTGATGGTGCTGTCTTCCCCCCCACACACCAAAACACCAGTTGATATTTAAAGCTTGGTTTCTGCTGTAAACCGACACATTAACACATTCACAGCCTGTGGTGCATTTAGGAACAATCTGACTGGTGTAGACTGTAGGCACCTGAAGGTCTGTGGTCAAATACCAAGGTGTCATGAGTGACTGGGTGAAGTAATGAAGTGGCACCTTCTCTGCTTGGACCATCCACCCTCTGCCCTGTTGATATCGACCTCCGTCTCCTGCCACTCTCCACCCACCCACCAGATGTCCTCAGACCTTCCTCCTTGTCCTGGTCACATGACTGCCACAACCACCTGCTCACCTGTCTCCTACTGACCTAAGCCTCCCTGCCCACACACACACACACCTGTTCCCAGTTTTCTCATTATCACAGCCAGAGCTGAAACCAGCCATTTCCACCAGCTCCCAACATCTGTGCATTTAAGAATAAGATTGTAGAATTATGACACACTAAAGTTACATACGTCATTCAGGGTAAATATAGTCTATAATGTGACACTGACCAACATTTCAACAACATTAAGAAGCATCTATTTAAAATCATTTGATTAAAGTCACAAGAACACCATAAACTTACACAAACATGTGCTGTCTATATGGAAACACATAGAGTAAATGTTCAGTCTGGGTTTGGGCCATCACATTCTCATACACACCAAGCTGCTCACTTTTCTAATTGTCATTTTTATTTGTGTTGTACTGTGATGAGAGCTGCATCACAAACGTGAATCCAGAGAGTGGAATGAGCCGCGTCAGCTGTCCATCAGGCTGCTGAGACCTGCAGCCTGATGGACAGACTGTAGGTCTCTGTGGACAGACTGTAGGATTCTGTGGTCTCTGTGGACAGACTCTAGGTCTCTGTGGACAGACTGTAGGTCTCTGTGGTGTCTGTGGACAGACTGTAGGTCTCTGTGGACAGACTGTAGGACTCTGTGGTCTCTGTGGACAGACTCTAGGTCTCCTTCGGACAGACTGTAGGACTCTGTGGTCTCTGTGGACAGACTGTAGGTCTCTGTGGACAGACTGTCGGTGTCTGTGGTGTCTGTGGACAGACTGTAGGACTCTGTGGACAGACTGTAGGTCTCTGTGGACAGACTGTAGGTCTCCTTCAGACAGACTGTAGGTCTCTGTGGACAGACTGTAGGACTCTGTGGACAGACTGTAGGTCTCCTTCGGACAGACTGTAGGACTCTGTGGACAGACTGTAGGAGGAGACAGTGAGTCTTACATGATTCTGTTGGGGTTCAAACTCCAGACCTGAGCGGTTGGCTCCTGGAAATCCAGGCCAGCAGAGACGATGGGATCAGATTGTGTGATTTAATCTGAAGCTGTGAGTGCAGTGGTAGGTGTGGTGTCTTGTCCGTCCAATAGAACGACAGTTTAAACGGCTTAAGTGTCCGTCAGGCTGGGAAAGGATCACACTGTCCTCAGCTCTGAGTCCTACCTCAACACTGCTCATGCCATTTCTTTGTATTGCAGGTTGTCTGTTTGTTTTCTTTTGATGACCTGCATGATGCACATTATTCATTACTGATAAGTGGTCAATAATCCTCAGGTATCATTTAGGAGGGAAATGAAGAAGAGAACTGGGAACAGAGAGGGCAGGAGAGACCCCTGGTGAGGCACTGACATGTTGTTCATCAGAGAGGTGTGTCATGAAACACTGCACAGAAAAATACAAGGTTTGATTAGATTCACTGAGAGACTGTGGTTCGTTAATAATCTCACTGCATCATGGTGCGTTTACACAACAGGTGGTAAAACAGACATAAGATGTTACATTAGGTTAAATTAAATGTGTTACTTGTTAACAGACACTGTGTTGACAGATGATTTTACAACATTCAGTTTCCTGTTGAAGAATGATGTTCAGGTGATCATTATGTAATTCTCCTCAGTCTCACCAATATTAAATATCTCTTTAAAGCCGTCCTTCATTCTGATCCCACTGTCACCACTTGTGACTTGATTTTTGAAAGGAAAGGCGAGCTGAGATTGGCATGCTGTCCAGCTGGCATGTCACCATCAAATCTGTGCTGTTATTACAGCACTACTGAATTTACAGTACTGGAGGAACAACAAGTATTTTATGAGTGAATTTGGCTTTGTGTATGTCTCATTCTGTTGTTGCAGTGTTAGATGGGTTTATAATTCTGTGTTTTGTCAGTGTCAGACTTCATTGTGTAGTCTGAGGAGGTTTTATTGCTAGTTTCAGCTGGATGGAGGTCGACTCAGTGGCACACCAACACACTCGGAGTGAGGTTTCTAATTCCTTTGTTTGGTTTCTCACTTCTGCTCTGTGCAATTCGTGCATGTCACAGTAAAGGCTGCTAATTTGGACGGTGAACGTCTGCCCGGTGTAAGACACGGTGTAGTTCCCCCTGCAATCAGCAGAGGAGACAGATAGACAGATGGAGGGGAAGAACACAAGGCTCAATGAAAAGTGACTCACGTACCATTGTATAATCAGGGTATATTAAAGGAAGGAACATCACACCCTCATTGCAGCAATGAGCCATGTGTACTGTTGCTTAATGGTTGTGGAAACCTCACACTCCTCCCACCCCCATAAATATGATATGCACTGTCCTGGTATGAGGACAGACGATCTCTCGCAGCAACAAACCGTTATTTCTTCATTTTAGGCCTTTAGTGTGATGTAAGTCTGAAGATTAAGATTTTAATTTAACCACCTTCTTTGTAGGAACTAAATCTGCTACTCAGACTGTGCCTTTAATGAAGACATATATATTTATTAGATAAATATTAAATGGTGCCACATTAAAATATCACAGTCCAAATTATGATGTAGCTCTCAGTATTGACTCCCTGTGGCCCACTAATCATATTGCTAAAATCCTTATATAATCCCTGTGGGCCTTATGGTGCATCTCTCCCGCTCAGCGCTGAGCACCGAGCGCTGCAGTGCAGTTTCAAGTGAGGTGAAACGTGGTGATTATTCTTGGGGCCCAGAGCTTCACTGGTGTTGCCAGCCCTGCTATACAACTGTGATGTTCCAGTCCAGGAGAGAGGGGAGCAGTCTGGGGCCCAGATTCCTCACTGCCCGCACCCCTCCCCCATGTGGATCCTATCATCTTACTTCAAAGCAAATGTAAAATCTGCTCTGACAGACATTTTGAGCTGGACATTAATGAACTAACACAAAACTAACATTAACGAAGGCTCATCCCAGTAAACCAGTGAGTCTCGTTTACACCAGCCACTTCACCCAGTCACAGTGGGAGCAGCACAGGTGTTAGCTAGGCTGCTAATAACATAAACGATGGCTCCATGATATTCCAGTGTCCATTAAACCATGACAGTGAGTCAGCGTCACAACAAGCTGCAGGACCCGGAATTAATGCAAGTGATTCCACCATAATTAATTTTATTATTTATACATGCGCTTTATTATGAAAGGCTCCATACTGCAGCTAAATGGAATGCAGCCATTTTTAATGATTTTAAATGCACCTGTGTTCCTGTTATTGTGTAGGTGGTTTTCCTGTAAAAAGAAAAATATGATTATTATTCTTATCATTACGTTTCTGTGTTGAATGTACAAAGCAAGTTTCTTTAGATCCGTGGTGAGCACGCGCATGAGCGAGTGTGGGAGGTTGAGGAGATGTAGCGTAGTGTAGTTGTGGTACTCTATACGACTTCATTTCCCAGATTGCACCGCGCCCCATGATGTTCCCAACAGCTGACAGACGGTGAAGCCTCTGCCGGAGCTGTCGGTGGAGTATCCTCTCGTCGGTAGATTGAACGGACTGAAAATTGAAGTGGACTGTAACCGGACGGGACCGTCCTCTGTCTCGTTGTGTCACAGTTTGATCCTGACTCGTGCAGATCGGCGCTGGGGACATTTGGTGTCGGCTAACTTCCACAATAGGTCTCTGCGTCGCTGGACGGCTGCATGGGTTGTATTTGAGCCTAGCCGTTCGACTCCAGCCCTTCCCTCCGTGCCCGATGCTGAGGAATGGATAGGGTGTCTGTGAAAGGTGGGAAGATGGTCGAGAGTGATGATCAGCCGGAGAGGGGTGGCGGTGGCGCAGCGATGGCCGCACTACATCAATGCGAACTCATCCAGAATATGATTGATATCTCCATCTCCAGTTTACAGGGGCTCCGGACCAAATGCGCCGCGTCCAACGACCTCACACAGCAAGAGATCCGCACTTTAGAGGTAACGAGCTCGTCAGAGCCGCGTCCCGCCACAGAGAGCAGTCTATAGTCAAACTGCGGAGTCATGAAGCTCCAGCGCTACGTCCGCCTCACACAGGCTCAGTGTCGGCTGCAAGCGAGGCGCTCTCTCACCGAGAGTCAGTGCGCTGAGCTCATTTAGTGTCTTACAGAGCGCCACAGGCTCGATGCTCCGAGTCTCACCGCTTTACCTTGTGTGGTGGGGCTTATTCCTGTAGAATATCAGTCATCTGTGTGACCTCTTTCTCTAGGAGGGAACATTTGTCAGGAGCCTCTCGATAGTTCCCAGCACCGCGCTGTGCAGCTGAATCCAGCCTGGCCTAATGGCACACATTCAATAATCTGATGCTGCTATTATTTATGTGCCTGTGTTCTTGTTCTCTGCGCGGGGCTCTGTCTGAACTGTCAGGCCTTCACGAGACCGATGCAAAACCAAATGTACGACGTGTTCCATGTGTCCGTGTCCCTCAGCCGCGAGCAGGCAGGGCTGATGCAGCCCCGGCCGCTCTCCTGCATCTGGATGCAGATTCAGCTCAGTCGTGTTGGGATGACTTGACATTGCTTTGCGCAAGAGCCACGGCTCCGTAGGGCCTCAGCATTTCAGAGTGTAGTAGGCAGCACAATGGAGAAGTCAGGCTGCAGCAGAGGATGCTCACAGTGCTTCTAGTCTTTCAGCCGTTATCTCTGATATTTAAAGAATCAGATGCAGGTTGCAAACAGTCAGCACAGTTTTATGTGAAGGCCTGTTAATGCTTCTGGATCCTGACTCCTGTCAGTCCTACTCTGTGAAATCCACAGTGATGTTGATATGAGGGTCAGTGTTGCTGGGGCCTGCAGGTTCCCGCCCATGACATGTTTACAGTCACATACTGTTTTACTAATATTCTGACTGAAGGAATCCTGTCATGGAAAATACAGCTTCATGAGGGGACAACAGGCCCTGCTTCTGCTGAGGTGTGTGTGTTTGTGTGAGACAAAAGCAGTGGAATATTACAAATTTCATGGCTACAAATGTGAAGTAGTAGCAGGTGGATGACTGTGTCTGTGAACAAGCTGCAGACATTCTCACAGTGTAGAGACAATGCTAAATGGCTTTTCTGGCTCATGGTTTATTTAAGCATTATACCTTGGGTAAAAGGAATGTTCGCTGCTGATTGGCTGGAGGCTATCAATTATCCATGTCTGTTTTATTTCTGTATAACCGAACACCCCGTGAACAATTGTGCTGTTGCCCCTAAAAAGTAATGTTCCAGAAAGCTCCGAGTGTTCAGTTTCAGCCACGCAGCTCGGCCCGGCCGGAGTGTTTTTCACCTTCTCCGTGGTCCAGAGAGGAAGTCATCCTTTAAAGCAACATTATTTGGTTGTAAAGTTCCAGTGTGTGAGTGTGATGTTGTGACTCTTGGACTGTTTTTCCTCAGCGAGACGATATCACCTGCTCAAAACATGCATTTGCATTTTAGATGGCGGTATCAAAGTCTGCAGGAACAGATGAACCTCAGAACGAGGCAGAGATGACAAAGCAGTCCTGTGTTTGTCGGTGCAGCTTTTCATCCTGGTGGATTGTACGAATGTCTAGAAGATCATTTGTTAGCTCTCTTGCTGCTGGCAGCATCAGGTGCAAGTTGGCAAGCAGCTGTGTGGGAGCACATTTTCACAGGCTCCAGTAAAGAAGCTGGTATTATTTGAAAAATTCCAAGTATTAACTGAAATAGAAACCAGACCAGATCAAGTCTGCATGTTTGTGGTTGTCCATTTGAGCCCCCCCCCCCAATCCCCACACTAACCCCCACCCCACTGCCTCTGCACAATGAGTGACAGTGAAGCTAATTTGCTGAATGTAGCATTTTAGCCACATCTTTGTTTTCAGAAGCAGAATTATAGTTTATGGACTGCCGGTGTAAATCATGTCTGGTTTGAACAGGGTCATAAATGTGAAGTGGAGTTCACAGCCTCCTCTGCACGCTCTAACTCTTATGTACTTGTTTTCATGCGGACCTTGTTGCTGTGTGGAGCAGGACGAGATCTGGCAGAGTACTTCCTGAGGTGTGCTGCACCAGCATTGTTCCTCATGACAATGGACAGGCCCTGCTGCTCACACATGGTTCTTGAAGGCTGTGAAAAAGCCCTGAGGTCTCTTTCCTGTGGTTCTGAGGCCGTGGTTGGGGGGGCATCGCTGAAAGTCAAACAGTAGCTCTCGTTACCTCAAGCTAGTTTTTGCTGGTTTGTGGTTTTGCGAGATTCAGGTTCCTTCCCTCTTGTACCTTGTGCACCAAGACAACTCTCACAAATCTACTTCCAGCCTCTGTCAGTGCTCACTGACTTGTAGTTGCTGCATCAGACACAGGGACAGTAGATAGTGTCTAGTTTACAGCACATCTAAATGTTTTTATTTAATCTCATATTAACAGATTATCACCGTACCTCAGTGGTCAAACTTTTTCCAGCTCCAGTCTAAACTTTTAGAAACTTCCCTTGAACTGATGATATGACGTTGGTCTCATTCAGCAGAGCTGTTGATTTATTAGAAGAAGTTTGACCTGATTTTTTGTTGGTGCTGTTCAGGTCTGTGTTAGTGTCAGTTTTTCTTCCTGTGATGTGTAGATTATCTGTTTGTTAGTCTTGTGGTATCTCTGCTCAGAGCCAGTATCAAGTGGCTGCACAGCATCCTACCTTTACTGCAGATGTTCCGTTTAATTCCCTTCACCCATTCGGACCTCTATCACGTTTTACTGTCGTATGACTCTTTATCATTTGCTTCATTTTCTGCTCGTATGTCACAGTTACAGGGTCAGTGCAGCGTGTGTGAGCTCTTCCTCTTGCTTTTCATTCATTCGGGAATACGTAATGATCAGACCAAGTAGATCATGGCTTCGAAAATAATTTCCTGCCATTCAAGAAGGAGGAGTCACAATTATTTAAACAAAGGTTTAGAAATGTGGTCGTCCTTGACCTTTGAACTCCCTGTGAGGGCATCAGAGAATAGTCAACATTTATTAATAATGACATGTTTGTCCAGGACTTAACTTATAATCAACTTATCCATCAAACTCTGTATTGAGAGATGGTAGATCAGCTGGTGATTACTGATCAGCTCTTCATACACACTCAGATATTCATCATGTCCATTTTTAAAAGCCTGGGCTACACGTCTTTACTGAGTGCAGCAGGCAGGACAGAGGGTGCTGTCTTGATCAGCACTCTTACTTCCGATGTCTTTACTGGCACACTGTTTTGAAACCACTTCTTCTACTTTCACTTCTTGCTTTGGCTCTCCGTCAGATTTCACATGCCTCATGTATTTAAAGTCAGCAGACTGGAGTTTTTCCTGGTTCCATTATAATGCCACCTTTCAGCCGATGTGTCAGGTGCTCATCATCGTATGTTTGTCTGGACCTCTGAACCCAGAGCCCTACCATCCCATGATCAGTGTCCAGGTGATCCCATGTAAATCATTCTGCCATGATGGATAGATGTCGTTACTACTGAAGATTTAAGCCACTTTAATTCACCTGAATTTGAGGAGTGTGTGAGGTCAGAGCAGTTGTCAGACTCGTAATGCTCCCATATTGCACTGGAGGGCAATCAAGAGAGGCTTGAACTCACTTTCGACTTTCATTGAGAGAGCTTTATTATTCCACTTGAACTGTGTGTTTTTTCAGCCTTGCCAGTGAGAGGATAATGATACTGGCCTCTCAAATAGAGTGCTAACTGGTACTTCACTTTTCACATGTTAATCCCACTCAGCCTGTCTCTGCTTCCTCTCATGCTGCCGCTCTGTTACTTTACTGTAGCTCTTTATGTATTCCTGATTTTTTTTCTTCATCATCATATTCACATACAAAACCTTAGCAGCTTTTCTATTTTAAAACCAGATTAACATCAGTTTACAAGCTCCATACACTGACAAACATCAACTTAAAAACACCAAATAAACAGCAGAACCTTTTGCAGCAGAACCGTTTTGCTTATGTGCTGTGTTTTACATCATCTTTAACAAGTGTCTATAGATATTTGTTCTTGGTTCACAGAAAAGCAATGTGCCGTGGTCTCTTTTTAATCATTGCTCTGTGTAATGATCAGCAAACAGCAGAGTGCCACTCTGTTTTGTCTCCTCTCGGTGTTGGAGAGAGTTTGCTGTGCGCTCGTGGTGCGAGCTGTTGTGGCTGCATCTATATTTAGACATCTTTCTTCCTACGCGTTTTCAGGGTTGGTTGTTAAATAAGAAAATCAAATGACGCGCAAGGAGCCTGTGCAAGAGGGGAGAGCAGGGAGGAAGGGGAGGGGAGAATCAAAGCCAATCCGCTGGGCTGCTTCTTATGACATGACAACCGCTGTGTGTGTGTGTGTGTGTGTGTGTGTGTGTGTGTGTGTGTGTGTGTGTGTGTGTGTGTGTGTGTGTGTGTGTGTGTGTGTGTGCACGTGTGTGTCTATCAGAGGCCTAGGAGAAGACAATAGAGAATGTCGTTCACATGACGGTAGAAAGGAAACACAGCTGTAGTGACTGTAGTGACTGTAGTGGCGCTGACCCCGTCTCTTGTTTTGGTGGTGCAGTCAGGGAGACATGGCTGCGTGATGTTGAAATCAGGATGGTTGAACAGTGAAGGCAGCCTTGATCTATTCTTAAACTGACTCAGGATGAGTTGCATTACATCCTGTAATTTTGAGGTTTGCTGTACTTCTTTTGTGGAAAAAAAAAAGGCGGGGGGGGGGGCTAGCTCCAAATCATGAGGAAGTGAGCACAGTGTTTCAGATTGAAATTGTTACAGTTATGTTTGTTGTAGCTATATATGAATAGTTAATGTAATTATTATTGTGACGTACGTCCTGTTTGGAAAGAAAAGATTTAGATTTAGACATTTTCAAAGATGCACAAAACTTGTCTATTATCGTGTGTGTGTGTGTGTGTGTGTGCGTGCGTGCGCCGTCCAGGCTTGAACAGACACTAACTTTAACACACAGACCGTTAGAAGCCACTCTAGCACCTCCCCACCCCCCCAGCCCAGTGTAGGGGTCAGCTCGCACTGGTGATAACAATGATGGAGGAGGGGGCCATTGTCTGGGACTGTCAACCACGTATATCCACCCCACCGGGCTTTAAAGAGTCCATGTGACCTGACCTCAGTGTAAGCAGCACTGCCTGCTTCCATTGTGTCTGTGTCTTTTGACATTGTCGTCATTTTTCACGTTGTTCAGCAGGCAGAAAGCTTCAGCCTGCTCACCCTGCTTCACTTGCATGGCCCTTTATGAAAATGTGCCCTTGAAAGCAATATAAAAAATTTGCGTTGATTTGCATTATCTCTCAGCTCCAGTGCTCCTGCTGTTACTGTCACATGTTGCCTGTGACACTGAGTCCAGCTGCCACATGTAAAGACAGAAGAACAAGATTCCTGCTTTATGTCACGTCGTGGCTGATATTGATCATATTGTACAGACGTTTTGTCTCATTGATTATAAAATGTCTGCCAAAGATCCCCAGAATTACAAGGTTTTACTTTGAAGGTTAATGTTGAATCTTTACATTTTGTTTGATCCCATAGAAAACTAGTTGTATTATTCATATGTGCATTTTTAGCTGGAGGGAAGTGAACCTATGATGTTGTGGGATGGTGCCGGCTCCGGTCTCAGCCTGGTCGTGTTGTGAGAGCCTGGAGGAAACAGTGGAGCGGTGATGTGCTCTGCTGTGTCAGGCAGGCCGCTCTCTGGTGGCCGACATGCCGGCTGTCACTCATCTCCTCGCAGCATTAGGCCGTTGCCATGGTGTTGTTTAGCTCTGCTGACAGGTGGGCTCTGACGCCATCGCTCCTCCCCCTCCTCCCACCTCCAGGCCACACGTCAAACACTTCTCTCTCCACTCTGCACCAAAAATAATATGAGGGGGGGCTGTTGTTATCTCTTTGATAACGTGATCTCTTCGTTTGCCGATGTGCTCCAGCACAAATACACATGACTGATATCAGTGTGTGTGTGTGTGTGTGTTTACTGATTTAGGATGATAATAGGTTGATAGTCAGTGTGTGAGATTTAATGTTTCAGTTGTTGTGCTGTGGCGACACATGGTGACATCTGTATGTGGAGGTGTATTGTGTCTGAGCTCCCTGTTTCACATGTATGGGAAAATCCCACTGAAATGTTGCTGACGACTCAGAAGAGGGGTTGCTAGGTAACCTGACGTCACAGGACTGCACTAGTGTATAGGGAGGTAAAGCAGGAGGCTAGTTCATTAGCCACAAAGAGTACAGGCCTTTACTGTGGCCATGTTGCTCCAGACTGAACAGTGATGACTGAACAGCACACTGAACTCTGAACTCATGTGTGATGGATATGAAGTTTAACAGATTAAGTGTTAGTAGTATGTTTGCATGTGTGCTCATTGATATTATGCGTTTCCAGCTTAAAATATGTGTAAATGAAAATGTGTTTGGGGGGGGGGCTGCCTTGCCTCCCCTCCCCTCCCCACATCGTTAGGGGCTGCTCTTACAGACTCCCCTCAAAGGTCAAATGCATGAAACTAAAGGAGCTTCGACCTCCACAGAAGACGTCAGATAAACACACTGTAAAGTGTTTGGCACATTGTACTTTGGTGTGTTTATGTTTTCATATGTGATGTATGAAAGGAGCTTTTATAAAACAGTTCTTGCTTGTAAGTTCTGAGAACTTTTTATTAGTTTTCATTCAGTAATGAATTTTATGATCTCTTAATGCTCTCTTAGTGCAACTGATAATTGAGGAGTAATAGTGCAGCAGAATAGCAGCTGTCAGAGTAACAGAGAGCATTTACCTCCTCTCTCTCTTTCTCTCTCTCTCTCTCTCTCTCTCTCTCTCTCTCTCTCTCTCTCTCTCTCTCTCTCTCTCTCTCATGGCTCTGGCCTACAGTGGAGAAGCTTTTGTTTGCTGCCATGAAGCAGCTTTTTACATCCCAAGGCCGCACTTTGTGAGACTAGCGTGGCTGAAAGAGTCTGTGTGTGCCTGGGAGAGTGGAAGTGTCACAGAGAGCTGAATGAGCAGAGAAAGACACGCGCTCATCGTTGTTGCTCAGGCACTCAGAGGTGCGCAGCGGGTCGAGAGAGCTAGCTGGTGTCGCTCAGCTCATCTGCAGGTGCTGCCTGCTGTAATGGACTCTTTACAGATAGACGGTGAGATAAGGAGACACACTATACGGCCCACTGCAAGCCAACACCGTGGTTTTCATGGTAATACTCACTCACAGGACCACTGCACCCCACACCGGCGCTGGTGGTGAAGTCTCACCGTTAGAAATCATCTGTGGAGACTTGTTTTGGCACTTTTCTTCCTTTGCTGAGAACTTTGATGTCACGGAGCTGCTTCCTTGTTCCTTGTACCAGCACCACACATGCTCTCATTAGATGACCAGCTCATTGTTCCACTGGATAATAATAGCTGTTTATATCTAATTAACTGCTTGTGCACTGGGGACGCTGGGAAATTGGGTTAAACAAACACTGGAGTCTTGACTGCAGGTGCATTGAGTTCAGAATGGAAAAACAGCCACTTGCATCAGGTTACCTCTTATTGTATTGAAAAGGCGGCAGCTGATGGAAAAGATACAGTAGTTTGAATCAGATGATGATGATGATTGAATGTCATTTTTGTAGAAGCAACTGTTTTTTTTATTTAGAAAATCTTAAATGACACATGGACAGTGCAGCAGTAATAAAAAAACAGCAGGGGGGTGTGACAAACCCCCTCCTCAGTGAAGGCCTCATCCTCAGCTGTAGCTCCTAGCATGCTGCCAGTCTCCCCTCTAACCTGCCCCTCCCATCCAGAGCTGTGTTCTATATTGCTCCCTGCAGGTGAAGCTGATGAAATACATCTGTAAACAGCTGCAGTGCAAGCAGAAAGTGCCAGAGACGGAGAGGCCCGAGGCCCTGGACAGCTACCCACACCTACGAGACTGGCTGCGCACCATCAACCTGCGGCCAGAGCTCATCCAGGTGAGTCAGGGTGTTTGGTGTCAGTGTCTCTCGCTCACTCTCTTTAGTCTGACTGACTTTGTTAGTGTCTCATTCATCTGTGTTCAGTATGTGAACTCAGCCCCCCCCCTCACATGTGCATGAGGAATGTTTGACCAGTGAAATACTTTTCTAAAAAAGAAGCTCAGTCGTTTTTGTGACGACGACGACGATATTTGTGTTTATTTACCATGGCAACAAATCTGAACTTGAACTGATTAATTCTGAAAAAGTTGAATTTTCATGGCAGCACATGTTTCATGAGACGAATAGAAAGACGCAGCTCACTGTCACTCGGACGAAATATACTCGTTCTCCCACAAACTAACTCCTCTTTCCTTCAAATCCAGTCTCAGCTGCCATTTATATCCATCTGCCTTTTGTCAGTGTGGGAGAATTTCAGACATGTTTGTCTGTAACTTACCAGGTTATTTTTGCCTTTGCTGGAGTGGAATATTCCTTGATAACTGTATGTGTATCACACATATATCCGGTATGTTTCATTTTTGGTTTCTCTTTTTCCTCCATTCTTAACCTCAGTTTTGAAATTCATTCACAGTGATCTTTTCTCCAGACAAGAACAAACTCTATCAATTGATCTGTTTAACTGTTTCAGTGAAAATCATATTTAGAGCTACTGGCTGTTCCACTTTAAATGTGTATTTATGATTTCTCCTGAATTTCTCCCTTGAACTTGGACTTGTCTAAACACAAATGCTGAAGATCTTTGCTTGGGGAGAGAATGTCGTAAATGTGAGACATTTGTTTATGTGGAATGATTCACAGTTGACACTCCACAGTGCTGCGGATGTAATGTGGACGAGTGCAGCCGTGCAGCAATATTAAACAGACCAGCAAAGTAATACATACAATAATCTGTGGTCTGTGGTTGGAGAGGGACCTGGTCAGTCTGATCTCTGCCTCAGTCTAGAGTCAGTCTGACACCGAAACTATCACGGCGGCTGTGTTTCCCAGTAGTGGCTGTGTGAGAGATAACCTCTCTGCTGTAAGTCAGTGTTCCCCTGGCCTCTCTCTGCAGCAGTGGGCGTCCTAACGGAGACTCTTCTAGAGGAAAGTTCCTTTACATCGAGATTGTTGTTTTGGATTATGAATGTATTAAAAATCAAACATTTACTACAGTATTTTCTGCTAAAAAGAGGTCAGTGTAGTTCATGAGGAAACTGCTGCCTTAGATGTGTGCAGTCGTGTTATTGCTGTGGGTTTTTATTTATCTTGTTCTAACGTATGCATTAACAGCTGGACAACAGCTGGACAACAGCTGGACAACGTGTGTGTTTACTTTAAGTTATTATTATAGTAAATAAGCTTGTGTTTCTGCAGAAGACACTCCAGTGTTCCCAGTTCAGGTGCTGGTCTTTTCCTTCCACCAGCTGCTCATACACACCTGACAAAAATTAATTTCCTCACGTCGTAACTTGGTGTAACATCCTTCACACACATGATTTGTTTGTGATATTTAGTTGTAATTTTCTCTCCTTCCTGTGCTGCTGTAAACTGCTGTAATCCCCCTCAGCTACTGTATGTTTGTATTGATCTTGTCCTGTTTGTCTTCCTTGTGAGACCTGACGCTGATCTGCTTGTTTTAAATGTTTCTGCACTTGTTTTTCTTTAATATGTCTGGATCCTGTGCATGCTTTTTATTTAATTTCACGGCATTGTTCCATATCTGATTACTCCTCCTCTCTTTAGTCATATCTTTCATGCTCAGTGTGAGTGTTTGTTTTTCAGTTTAAACCTCACAACCTTTCCCTTCTAAGAATTCAGCTGTGTGCTAGCAAATAAGAGGTTTTCATGCCATACAAGTGCTCATTTGTAGATCTGGTGGATTTCCCAAAAGACGTAGAGCCGTCACGGCCTGTTGATGACCCATTTAGATCAAACATTCTTAGAATGCGATGTCTACGACGCATGACTTCACTCTATACTATGAGGGCTGGATTATGTAAGCGATGGTCCAAAAACATTACAATGAGTGTATCTTTAATCTGGAAAACAGCCTCCCTGCTCATACGCTGAAACTGACAGTGAGCTATTACATAACCTTCTACCAACATGTGGCTGCCATGTTGGCAGGCCTCTGCATTGAGCATGTGTCTCTCTCTGTGAACTAATTAAGTTTGTCTGTGGCTCTAATGAGAAGCCTTATCTTGATTAACACAGGCGTGGTCACAAGAAAAAGGTCAAAGCATTTTGAGCCAGAAACTTCCCTAAAGTGGAAAACTGCTCAGTTTAACCACAGGAAGAAGTAGACTCAAACACACCATCAGTGAGGTGATAACCCTGACCCTAACCCACAGGATCTAAAACCATGTAACAGTGTGACATTAATTTGTGTGTGTGTGTGTGTGTGTGTGTGTGTGTGTGTGTGTGTGTGTGTGTGTTTGCTTCCTTTTGCTTACAGTTTACATGAGTGTGGGAGCTTGGCCTAGTTTTGTGATCAGTGTTTGCCCTCTCAGAGCAGCAGAGCTTTAACCTGACTGATAAGCGATTGCGTATTTCCCATGTCAAAAAAACATCCTAAAATCACAGAGCAATCACTGGACTGCCCCCTGTTTTTGTCTGCGCTGTTTGTGCTGCATTTTGTCTTCTGCGCCAGCAAGCAAAACTGAAATAAACAGTATATACCTCAGGTTTGTAGCTTTGCAGCCTCAGTCTTAAAGCCTCAGCGACTCCCCAGCTTTTGTAAAAAGGCTAAATACTAAATAAAAGGCTGACAGCGGAGAGGAGACAGAGAAAAGCTACATACTTCACTGCAGGAGAGTTGGCAGTAAATGGAAGTGTGTTCACAATAAGAATATCAGCCTCAGTAAAGGTCCCTGTTTGTCTTTAATTGATAGTGATCAAATAATGTAAAGTCAAAGTTTTGATGTAGCTTGCCTTTATTGCTGTGACAAGTAAGCTATTCAGTGTGTGTGTGTGTGTGTGTGTGTGTGTGTGTGTGTGTGTGTGTGTGTGTGTGTGTGTGTGTGTGTGTGTGTGAGATTCTTTATATTCCTACATAAACACTGTTCTCATGATAATGAATGACCTAGTTATTACCATGACATACTGGCTGTTTAATGTGAGTCACTACACGCCACGATCCAGAAGAAGTTTTTTATTGGTGTTATGAAAATCTGTTTGTTCTTGTTGTGGATCTTTCCGGTGATGTGTCATGTATTCATCTTGTTACAGAGCTCACTGTCTCTTCTCCTTTGCTTTGCTCCCTGCAGGCAGTGGAAGCCAAGCTGTCCCTGGACGCCTTACTGCAGATGACAGGTGCTCAGGTGAGGGAGACCATGCGAAGGCTGGGGTCCAGCTCAGAAGAATGTGCCAGACTCAGTGCTGCCCTCTCCTGTCTGAAGAGTGCCACTGAATCAGGTATGTGTTGGCTGCGTGGATGCTCCTTGATCTGATGCGTCATAGTGTGTTCTCGTTGGGTTCCTACTGGTGTGTGTTGTCTGCTGACTCTGTCCAGGAGGGGAGCTGAGGGAGGACGGGGGTCCGTGGTTGTCCGAGCCCACCAGGAGGGACAGCGGCTCTCTACTGACTGCAGACCAGCTGACCGGCCTGGGGACTCCGCTCCGTCCTCACAGCCCCTCGCCTCTCGCTCGCCCATCCACCATCCAGTCCACCCCATCCACACCCTGCGCCAGCTTCCCTCACCCCCGCTCAGGCTCGGTGTCAGCGGCACCCACACCCGAGGCGCTGGCCTCACACCTCCACGGTGAAAGCCCCCTCACCGATCCATTCCCCATGTCCTTAGCTCACGCAGCTCGGCTCCATGGACACACGTGCACCCCACCCATAACTCCACCTTCAAAGAGACGTCACCGACTGAAGCCGCCCTGCACCCCTCCACCTCCCTCCCGCAAAGTGCTGCATCTACTTCCCAACATCACCCTGACGCGCAGCAAGAGCCACGAGTCCCAGCTGGGCAACCGCATCGAAGACCCCCCAACCAACAAGTAGGTGCTCAGATCACACTGACTCACACTCTGTTACAACCTTCACCACGTCCACAGCTCTTCATACGCAGGTCAGAGCAGAGCTGGATGGGAATCCTCAGATCACGATATTATTATTACAGATTCCACTGTTGCTCTGTTCGCTCAGGTTTACAGGAAGTGACGAGATGTGATGTGTTTCTTCTTCTGCGGTTCCTCAGCTACAGTGAGCAGGATTATTACAGCCTGGTGTTTGCTGCCTGTTCTTTGATAACCTTGTTCCTTTACTAATGACTAGTGCTTCTGTATATTTCTAAAAGAAGCTGTTGATGCTAACACCAGTTCCATTATTAACAGAATATAGAACATGACTCATCTCTGTGACACAGTGTGTTGTGTATAACGATCAGCAGGTTAACTAAAGCTGATCAAAAGATTAATTGATCAACATACAATAAATTGACAGATTTGAGTTTTTCTTGACAGTGGTGAGATAACTACAGTGTAACCAGAGCTGTATATGTTTGTATGTAAACTTCATCCGCTGCACAAACATTCATACAGAGACAAAGTGTCCTTGAACACAGTGAAACACTGAAGCTGCGACATTATCACGCAGTGGAGAGATGGAGCGAATGTTGCTGACATGTCTGCACACAGCAGCAGAGGGCGCTGTGTCCCATTTGAATAAGCACGGTCATGGAAGTGCAACAGTGAGCAGGTGACAGCTTCATTTCCTCAGCACCTATAATAACAGCTGCTGCTGCAGTTTTAATCACATCTGTCCAGTGTCTCGTTCTTCAGCAGAGCTTCTCTCTCTCTCTCTCTCTCTCTCTCTCTCTCTCTCTCTCTCTCTCTCTCTCTCTCATCCCTTCACATCCTGCCTGTTGCTCCTTTGCTCTCACTGTATATGCGTGAAGCTAATCCCCACATAGATTCCCACAGATTATGAGTCATGTCAAAACAGGAAGTATTTCCTAGGACTAATGCTCAGAGGTGGCAACACAAACACAATCTCTCTCTCTCTCTCTCTCTCTCTCTCTCTCTCTCTCTCTCTCTCTCTCTCTCTAGCTCTCTCTCTCTCTCTCTTTCCCTCATTCTCTCTCTCTCTGTCTCTATTGTGATTGGATACACACACACAAACAAGCCACATGTTTATCCATCATATCCTGTCTGTTTATGGAAAGCTTTATTGGAGAAAGAAAAACGGAGGCAAAGTAAATATGGCTGACATAGATTCAGTGCTTCGAACGCACACACAGATAATCCTGCCAGTTTATCCGGGTCACAGGTCTGATAGCTGATTGAACAGAACACTGTGATTACTCACGTGTGTGTGTGTGTGTGTGTGTGTGTGTGTGTGTGTGTGTGTGTGTGTGTGTGTGTGTGTGTGTGTGTGTGTGTGTGTGTGTAAACCAAAGAACTGGCACTGCTCGGCGCTTCAGTCCTTGTGAGTTCAGTCTGGGTGTTAAGGATGTCACCCTGGCTCTCTCCCATGCCAGAGCTATTTGAGTATCCCAACGTGTCTCTGTCTCGATCCCTTACATAACCTGTGTGGTACTGTGGTGAGCGGTCGATGCTGTGGACCTGCAGAGGTTTCCAGTCCAGGTTTTGTCACTATACAAGATCTACAGACACAGGTACTCAGTTTTTTTTTTTTTGCTTCCTTCTTCAGATGTGTTAGAAAGAATAAGTTGTTCCTGAATATGCAAGTTAACGGGAATGGATGTGAGGACTTGTCTTCTCGCTACCCCACCATGTCTGCACGGACCCCCGGAGTCACCCCAGCTGCCACCACAGCACCTTACACCCTGCCTGGCACGCCCACCCTCCTGGAGGAGCACAGCACCATTAAGAGTGAGTCATTAACATGTCTGCTGTTTTTATTTTGCTGATGTGGTGAATCTACATGTTTTAGATTCATCCTCTAGGACCTGTCTGAAATTACTGGGATTTGTGGGATTGAATGAGCAGAGTTTGGGTTCTGGAAAGTTTCCTTTTATTCCTTATCTTCTAAATGTGCTTTGACCCTGTCCCAATGACAGAATCCTCATTTTTAAATGCTCCATTTTGTATGTGATCAATCCTCTCCTTCCCTCCATCTCTTTCTCCCTGGCCAGATAACGTAGCAGTGCATCGCAGCTCCCCACAGGCAGTGAGGAGGGACATAGGCCTAGCGGTCACACACAGGTAGATCATATGAAGCTTACTTCATAAGTAAATGAAAAGAAATGAACTCAATAATAATTATACCTCTGCAGTAATGTAAAACTGGAGTTCTAACAGCAGCTCTTTGTCTAGGTTCTCGACCAAGTCCTGGCTGTCCCAGACGTGTCAGGTGTGTCAGAAGAACATGATGTTTGGGGTTAAGTGCAAACACTGTCGGTGAGTCGAGCAATTTGTGTTTTACAGTGAAATCACCTTGAAGTGATGTTGTTTCTGTCTGAGGCTTTCTAACAGCAGCATGAGAAGCTCTGTGTTGATTGGGGGGGAGTTGGGGAACCTTGAGCGGGCCTCGATCTGGACTTGAAGACTGTGTGCTGATCACTGGGTCTCTCACATGCAGGTTAAAGTGCCACAACAAATGCACCAAGGAAGCTCCATCCTGCAGAATCTCCTTTCTACCAAGTAAGTTTTCTGTAACCCTCAGTCTGCAGGTGATGGACACGGTATATTTGCGTACAAACATGTAAATAAATTGTGACAATTTCTCTTCTAGTTGCCAAAATTCGGAGGACTGAGTCAGTTCCGTCTGATATTAACAACCCAGTGGACCGGCCGCCAGAAGCACCGCAGTTTGGCACACTACCAAAGGCCATTACTAAAAAGGTTAAATAAAGGAGTTCTGCATTAGAGCAAAAAGCATGACTGTATGCAGTTTAAACAGGGATGAGTTCCTGTTGCAGATATTGATGTCTGTTTCTCCCTGATCGCATCGTCATTGTCACTGGCTTCTCAGTGTTTCCACTGTCTGCTCTTATGAAACATGAGTGACGCTCCTCTCATCTCACATTTCCCTTCAAATTGTTCCGTTGAAATTGAAATGAAATGTAGAACCTGTAGTCATCATCTAAAGTATAATATGATCATTATCTGTCAGGCCTGATCAGTGTTGCCCCCCCCCCTTGCTCGCTCCACCAGGACCATCCTCCAGTGCTAAACCAGCTGGACTCCAGCAGCAATCCGTCCTCCACCACTTCATCCACACCTTCCTCCCCAGCACCCTTCCAGCAGAGCAACCCCCCCAGCGCCACACCACCACCCAACCCCTCCCCCAAAGGTCATCGGGACAGTCGCTTCAACTTCCCTGGTAAGCTCAGAGGACACACATCCTGAAATAATGCATGCTAGTATTCCACTTGATCTCTCCTCATACAGATTTTTGCAGCTTTAATAGTATGAAACATACGGGTCTCACACACTCTCCTCTTCTCTGTGACATTAACACTGAAGAACAACTGCACTTTTTATAAGATCTGTTCATTCTTTCACACCAAGTCTCTGTGCCATGCTTGATATGGTCTTTCCCTCTCTTTTTGCAAAAGCTGCCTGTTACTTTCAGCATAGACAGCAGTTTATCTTCCCTGGTGAGTTGACAGTCCTGAAATGTCATGCTGCACTGTCGCTACTGTCCCATCATGCCCCTCTGCAAACCCTAGATTCCCTGCAGCTCTCTCTGTCCTCTGCATGTTAGCTTGTAGGGTCGTAGCAGTCACTGTAGCTAGCGTTCTCTGTGTGTCAGCACTGGGATTGCATGCTGAACGTTAGCGGCCTTTTGACGCCATCTGCTGGTGGTAGTGGGGAATTGCATGAGCGGTCATGTTCTGTATGTGGTGGGCCATGAAGAGATGAAGAACCTTTTTGTTCCTTCCTAAAGTATCTTGTTGTTCTCTACAGATGTTTCCAGTTCTGCTAATTTGCACTCTGACGTCCTCCAAGACACTGTGTAAGACATTTACACTAAAACATCAAGTCTTTTCATTTGAGTGGTGAAACAGTAGTTAAGTTATTTAGTTTGTTTCCTCACTGATGTGTTCTGTGTCACAGCAGTGAGATCGAGCAATCAGCCGATGACATCCACGCTGAGCTGGTAGAGGATGAAGATGAAGAGGTAATGCTTAATAAAACAAAAAATAATAAGAATAAAAATAAAATGAGCTGAAAGAGTGAGAGTCAGACATCACTACAGATTAACAGTGAGTGTTGACAGGTTTGGAAATCGCTGGGCTGCTGCCACAGGATGCAGATTAGTCTCGTAACCTCAGACAAACTCAGACCATTCTTCACATCTGAAGTTATGAATATCAGCTGTCACAGCAGAGCGGCTCGGGTCAAACTCCTTTCTATACTGAGCAGTTGAAAGAGTGACTATATTTATTCAGGTACATCAAGTCAGACCACAGAGGGGAAAACAATCATCATCAGTCAGTGCTGGCTCACATTGTACAGAATATATTAAAGAACAACAGCACATTTTTCAACCGGCTCATCCTCCATTTACATTAAATATATTCCCAGGCATTGAAGATACTGTTCCTATAAACTACCTGACAAATAAAACCAGGAGATACAGATAAAATATCTAATATTTCTTTAATTTGTAGCAATAGAAAGATGTGATAATAAATGTTCACACTTACCTTTCTTTGGGTAGATGTTGTTTTATCCTTTTATACGTAGTGGAGTAACAAAGCCATCACCACACTCTTGTAGGAAGGGGAGGAGGAAATTGATGTCGAAGATGAAGACCCAGAAGCAGAGGAGGAGAATGATGAAGAGGAGGAGGAGAACGAGGACGAAGGGGAGGACGAGGATGATGGGGAGGAGATTAGGATGAACATGGGTTCGGACGGGGAGTTGGATGGCGACGAGCTGGACGATCTGCCCAGCTCTCGGGGGAACCAGTGGAAGGGCCCCATCTCCCGCAAGGCGAGTCAGACCAGCGTCTACCTGCAGGAGTGGGACATCCCATTTGAGCAGCTGGACCTCGGAGAGCTCATAGGGAAGGTGAGGAATCTGAGGCAGACATTAGTGGAGCACACCATCTTCTGAAGAGGCATCTCTGCTGAAGCAGTTCTTTGTTCACGCAGGGTCGCTGGGGCAAAGTCCATAAGGGTCGGTGGCACGGGGAGGTGGCAATCCGACTTCTTGAGATCGATGGAAACAATCAGGACCATCTGAAGCTCTTTAAAAAGGAGGTGATGAACTACAGACAGACCAGGCATGAGAATGTGGTCCTGTTCATGGGCGCCTGCATGGCTCCACCCCACCTAGCCATCATCACCAGGTGAGTTCAGAAACATCAAACGCACCTCTGAAATGATTTTGACCCAAATACTGTTTTTATCTTCAATGTGATATTTTCTGTGTCCACACAGTTTCTGTAAAGGGAGGACGCTGTACTCAGTTGTTAGAGACACTAAAAACACTTTGGACATTAATAAGACAAGACAAATCGCTCAGGAGATTGTAAAGGTAAATGTTTCTGTTCTACCTTCGGTGCATTTGATTCTGTAAGATCCAGGACGTCATTTAGAGGTGCCAGATTTCATGTAAAGAAATAACTTCATTATAAGAAACAGGAAATCTGTATTCTAACTAAACCAAACATAATAAATATTGTTTATTAAATATTTTTCATTATGGAGTATATGTTACATTTTGATTTTTGGTGTAATTAATATCCCAAGTTCAGTCCAAGTCTTAATGTGCACTGTAGTTGCATGAGAAGAACCAATGCAGCAGAAAGACAGAAAGAAGAAACGTGTGTGTGTGAATGATCAGAGTGTGTGTGACAGCAGCTAATGAAGGTTCACCATCTGTCCTCCCACACAGGGAATGGGCTACCTGCACGCTAAAGGCATTGTTCACAAAGATTTGAAGTCGAAGAACGTTTTTCACGACACCAATAAAGTGGTGATCACAGACTTCGGGCTGTTCGGGATCTCTGGAGTTGTTCAGGAGGGGAGGTGAGAACCGCCACTCAAGAGACTTTAAAAACACAACCTCAGCTAAAGAGCTGTTCCCACCACACTGATATTACCGGGGGGGGGGGGGGGGGGGTCCAGTGGTTTATGATAACTAGCTGAGGTCCACAGTGACGCCGTCGCTGCAGGCACGTCCCTTTACAGAAGTCTCCTGATTCTAAGCTCTGAATCGCTTCCAGCACACGCTTTCTGAAGAACACTTTGAACACACACACACAGCCAGCTTCATGAACAGCCGTGCTCTACACAGTCGTTGGAGATGGACTGACTGCGTCTAGTTAATGCATTTTCCACTCAAGTTAATGCGTCTTTCCTCTCTCAGATTTTCCACTCCATTTGATTTGTTACTGAAAAATATGTATTTTTGTTTCCAGGCGTGAGAATAAACTAAAACTTCCACATGGCTGGATCTGTTATCTCGCACCAGAGATTGTGCGCAGGATGAGCCCAGGTAACAATGAGGACCGCCTTCCTTTCTCCACCGCAGCAGATGTGTACGCCTTTGGGTAAGCTCCGCACACTCACAGCAGTTTACTGAAGTTACCGGATTATCCAATTTGGCAGAATAATCATACTTTTATTTCCCCCCTTGAAGCACCATTTGGTATGAGCTTCAGGCTAGAGACTGGCCAATCACCAACCAGCCTGTGGAAGCTACCATCTGGCAGGTGGGGAGCGGAGAGGGCATAAAGAAGGTGTTGGCCGAGATCAGCCTGGGCAAGGAGGTCACTGTGAGTTGAGTGTGTCAGTCATTCAGAAACGTACGTGTTTATTCTGCCTTTATGAGACTTGTGCGCTCAGCTGACGCAGAGATGTTTGTGAAACTTTAAGATCCAGCATCACTCACAGTGCGCATTGCGGCGAGCGCTCGGCTCAGTGCTTTGTCATGTTGGTTGACTCACAGTGGTTTGTCCTTTCAGGAGATCCTCTCTGCCTGCTGGGCCTACGACCTGAGAGAGAGGCCCACCTTCACCCAGCTGGCCGACATGCTGGAGAAGCTGCCCAAACTCAACCGCAGGCTGTCCCACCCCGGACACTTCTGGAAGTCTGCAGAGTAGGTATCCAGAGATGAAGGACGAGTGACGACACTGGACAGACAAACAAATGTCCCTTAGTCCTTGTTGTGTATCTTCTGATATCTTCTGATTGGTTGTGGTGCTGTTAGTCATTGACTCCAACAACATGAGGTTGAATGTTTCAGCCTTGGGATCACAGTCTTATTTATAGATGATATTCATATTTGTTTGTTACATTTTGAATATTAGATGAGATAAACAGGTTTGAATTGTTTCATAATTTCTGTTCAGCCCCACACATGACCAGATGACTCAGTCACTGCACCATGACACACTGTAGATCCTTTGTTACTGTTGCTTCTTCTCAAGTCACATGTGACTTTGTGGTTTATATTTGTAGATGTGAGTTAATTTAATCTCCTGACAGTGTCAGTCTATTGACAGATATCACCAATCTGTGACAGAAGAAAGGGTCAAACTGTCAGTTTCTTCTTAACGCCAGACTGTCGCACAATGTGATTGCACAGTTTATCATGGCAATTTTCAGTTCCTTAACAAAGCTGTCAGGAAGAGCAAAAAAAATAATATGACAGATACACAAGTGTAAAATCTGCATGTGTGAGATAGTCGCGGTCTCTGGGTGATCAGATCATTTCAGTGTAAATGTGGGTCGTTCTGCGACACGTCATCTGAAGTTGAGAGTAACTGTCCGACAGTGAAGGGACCAAGTTAAAATACAAAAACTCAGAATTCAGGAAAATTAACTTATTTCACTTTTTACCTCATTTGTTGTCGTCTTCATTAGTTTGTTCTTATTGCACCAGAATGGATTTCATCCTCGTTTTACCCGGACCAGCTTTATTTCACTTTCTGCAGCCACACACTTCACTACAGCTTCACTTTCACACCATGTCTCGTCTTGTTTTCTGCTTGTTGTTTATGGTTTGCACAGAGACGACATGCAGCCTTTTCATTTTTAATGTAAAACCAGAAATCAAGGGCTTCACTGTTGATCCTGTAAATGTTAAAAGCAGGTTTTGTTTAGCAGCATGATGGGAGAGATGTTTTCTTTAAAAGAAGACAATACAAATGACTTACAGAGGTCGGTGTTGTTGATTGAACTTTCTCTGAAGTGAAAGTCCTTGAACTAATCTACATGTGTGTAATATCTTGCTGCTTTCCAATGATGCTTTCTTCACTGTGAGCTTGTTCCACCTGCACTAACCGTCTAACGTTTGTGTTTTCCTTTTGCTCTTTCCTCTCTGTTCTTACTCTCTTTTCTAATCTAGGTTGTAGCAGTCACTGAAACATAAGCAATGCAAAACAAAGCCTGGGTCTGCCTTGCATGCTCCTGAATCCTTAACTCTTACAGGATTGATCAAAGCATTGCCTCTGCCTGAAACAGACACTGCTTCCACTAATCCACAGTCTGATCTTCCATGTCTAACTGTTTTCTTGTTGGGAAGAGAGGATCGGTGGACTGAGGTGTGGCGGGGGAGGGGGGAGGGGGGTGCTCTCCCGCCTCTCATCTAATATCTCTTTGCCTTCCTTCTTGGTTTTGTTGTGTGACGTCGTCGGGACTCGGAGGCTTGTGAATAACTGGCTTGTGGTGTCTGTGCTGAGACTGACTGGTGTGCTGTGGTCTGTGCCTGCTGATGGCTGCCCTGTCCTCGGCCTGCTCACCTTCCCTGTGCTGCTGTGATGTGGTTGTTCTTGCCAGGGGGAGCCCTGACCACACGGCTCCCTTTTTCTCTCTCTCTCTGAAATACACACACACACACACACACACACACACACACACACACACACACACACACACACACACACACACACACACACACTGCTGGACGTCAAATGAACCCTACTACCAAATGGACCACTTCATTCATCTGTGTTTTCCCTGGGGGGTTGACGTGCGTTTGACAGGCTGCTTGAGTGATGTTCTCAGACCGACTGCCTCTCAGCTCCTCTCCCTCCATTTTTTAATGGTCGTGTGACGGCATGTGCTGAGATGTTCACCTGCCCATGTCTAGACACAATATGCACTTTGTCAACAGGACAAAAATAATCATGAACTCTTTTGTTGTTGTTTAGTTTGGTTTTGAATAGTCATATTTGCAGTGTTTTCTTTTATTCTTCAGGGGGGTGTCAGAGGCTCAGACAGTGTGATATGCTCACTTGTATGTTGTCTTAACCTGTTAAATTCCCTGTTTATTGGATGCATCTGAAAGCAGGGCACTGATGACTGAAGACTTGTGTTTGCTAAACAACAAGGAAGGAAAAGGTGGAATATTCCCTACATCATTCACAATCCACATGGGAATAGAATAAATGCTGACTATTTATGATTAAAGACTTTTTAATAATAGCGTCCATCCATTGAAGTGTAAAGTGCACTTTATAAGAATATGAGTTCTTTAGAAAGATCCTTTTTTCAAGAAGATGAGTGATTTCATTCTCTGCGCAAAAAAAAGAAAAGATAAATCAGGAACGTGGCGCAAAAGTGTCCTATATCTTCCTAAAACATTACCTCTTGTGCGCGCTTGTGCATACTGTTTGTTATTGCTGGCCTCAGTTAGTGTGTGTGTGTGTGTGTGTGTGTGTGTGTGTGTGTGTGTGTGTGTGTGTGTGTGTGTCTGTGTGTGTGTGTGTGTGTGTCTGTGTCTGTGTCTGTGTCTGAGTCAGCGTACCGTGGGGTTGGATTTCGTGAAAGATTGCAGTAAATGTTGTGTTGCAGAATCCAATGGTATGTAATGTACATACATTATTTAATGTATAGCAAATTAACATGACTCTTCTAATATTTGTATAAACATTTTATATGTAAACTACATCACAACATTTTTGAATAGGTACTGCTATGGCTATTACAGATGTGTATATATATTTATATTTTTTTCATGTATAAAATACTGTATAAACACTGTACAATTTTTAGAATGGGCCAATACATGTTTTTTTATGTTACTGTAAAAATTCATATTTTTGTATTGCATGTGACCATTCTGTACACGCAGTTTGTGTTTTCATCCATGGAAGACAATAAAATGAGGCTTGTCATGTAAGAACAGAATGGATAGTTAATGTCCTGCAGTAAAAGAGTGCTCACTGTGTGGACAACACTTATAGAAACAACATCTTCAATATAAAGAATAACAGAGAAATGCAGACAAACAGAAGACATGGTATTCAGATTGAATCTATTTGATTTATTTTGTTGAGTTAATTTGGCTTGTTAAGAAACAAATAGAGTTTTCATTCTGAGATGGTGATTACAGACAGTTATTAAACTGGGACAAAGACAGGACCAAAGCATATATTTACTTACAGCAGTGATTCTTCATTTTACCAAACAATCAGAGGGGCGTTACAGTGGCCTCACTACAGCAGTGGAGATAAAAAGGAGCCAGTCCGGAGTGTGCAGGAAGAAGAGCTTCTACACATCAGCAGCACAGTGAATGTGTGACAGAACTCCTGCAGACAGAAAAAGTAAAAGAAAGAAAGTTTACTCCGTCTAAGGTCAATAATGATTCCTCAGGCTCATTTCAGTGGACGGTTATGTAAAAAGCTTGTAGCAGCTGCATGATGATCAAAATCCCAGCGTGCCTCTAGGTGGCATAAAGACCCAACAGAGGCAGTGCTGTTTTTATTATAGTTGTGCACATTTCACATCAGATCTTTTGTTGTTTTTCTTACGTTTTTTCATTTGTGTGTTATGAAAGGTGTGAAGTGTGGTCGTTCTATAACCCAGAACAACTGAGTCATGTGAAACTGAGCCACTACAAACCTCTTGAACTTGTAGGTTTGTCATATTAAACGTCTGAAGCTGCTCCAGAGTTAGTCATTAGAAATGGAAAAACAAATTGTCTAAAGTATTATCTATAGACTTGTTTGGATAACAGCACATTATCTGTTACTGCTGCTGTAAAGTAACATTACTTCCAGGTAAAGTGCCCAAATCTGGTTTGGAGGTTTTAATCTATAGAGAACAGAATGGACTGTGGGCATATTAGGCAATGTTTTATTAGCTTCTTTCTGCTTAGGCAGCTTTTCAGTGATGAATCAAAAGTTGATAATATGAGGCCTTCAGCTTCATCTGTCTGTAAAATGAGGAACACTGCTCACATTCAGACCTTGAAACCTGTTATCAGTGAGGCTGCATCAAGTGTGGTTTTGACTAATAAGAATGATGGATTGATTGTGAATACTGGTATCAATCCAGCGGAAAAGAAAGGACCTTGTATTTTCTACTGCAACTAAAAGCTCTTTGACTCCAACTGGTACTGAATCACATGACCAGCATTTGGTGAGGGGAAACTGTTTCCCTCATTGGGACACAGAATGGCCTTTCTTCCCTGAATGTCAATCAAAACATATGACAATTGCTTGTTTGTTTTTTGTTATGTTACCATTACCAAATGTAGGACCTGCTGATTCAACAGAGTTCAACAAAAACTCGTGTGAGGAACCAAATATCAAATATGTTTATTGATTGAAGGTTAGTGACATCGAAGACTTGAGAGAGGGAGAGAGAGAGAGAGAGAGGGAGAGAGCGCGAGTGTATTAGGAGGCCATTTTGACATTTGCTGAGCCTGAACTGTTGGCCATCAATTGATGTGTGGCACAGTTAGTCACATGTAGGCAATGACTTCAGGGATGTAATGTGAGTTAAGGTAGTTTTTTATGTTTCCAATGAACTAATGGAATAAAGTGTTCATTGTAGTTGGCATTCAAGGTGCAGTGTTATTAAATACTGTTGTTAATGTTAGGCAGCAGCATCATTAAATCACCAATGTGCCAGGAAGGGTCACAGGAAAGTCTCACATCAGCAAGTCAGTTAAAGACTCCCTACGATGAAAATCCAATGTTTAACCTTATTAACGTCCATATGATGTTTTTATATAATACAGACATGATGAGTGAAATAATCATCAACACCATGACTGAGTGTTTCCACCTTGAACTGCAGTGAACAACCACTGTGTCAGCCACTGACAGTTACAAGCTAACAATCAACATAAACAAATAAAAGATGCTAACTAGCTAACGGTTCTGATCCGTCTGCTGGTCTCTGGTTCTGGTCTCAACAGACTCCTCATCTGAGTCTGGGTCTGACTGAGGCTCAGACATGTGGCTGAGACTCTCTGCTCTTTCACCTGTACACCTGGAGCCAGCAGGTGGTGGGCAGGGCACAAGGCCTGAGAAGCTCTGTTTACAAGATGGAGGCAGATAACACTAAAGTCAAATCAGGGGGGTCCACTTTTTCTCCAAGGTGAAACAGAACCCAGTACAGCACAGTGAACTGAAGTCTTATAGTCCTTACAGTATCTCGCTTGTTTAACTAAAGCTGTTGAATAAATGTAGTGGAGTAGAAAGTACAATATCTCCACTCGTGTGGCATTAGGCTGCGGATGATGGAAGTATGATCACTCAGTCACTAACGTTCACTATTATAGACACACAAAAGACTATTAAAATGAAGTATTAAACTCTACATTGATGTGAAAACATATCTCTACAACTACTACTCCTCCATCGTGTCACTGCTCATGACTGAGCACCAGTGTTTGCTCACATTAGATAATAGATGACATTTTATATTAGTTATGAAATGCCAAGCAAACACTGAAAATGAAAGAGCCAATGTTTCAACCCCCCTGAACTGTTGTTTTTACCTCTTTCTTTTTTTGGGGGGGGGTCCAAGTCTTAATCATGAGGGTAAGACTCCCCCAATCTCCCCCATAATTCGAACCCTGACTAAATTAAGATTCTTGCATTTTGTAGAACATCTTCATTAAATTAGCAGCACCAGACTGAGCATGTGTGACAACAAGGCTGTCCACTGTCCAGCTCACTTATTTACAGAGGGTGAAGGTGATGGTGTGTATATGTACATAAACACACACACTAGCACAAATGAAGACTGTAATTGCTGGTTATGGGACTTTCCATTACTTCACCTTGATTGTAAGTCATCTGTGTTGCCTCTGCTCTCACTTCCTCTTACACATATTTAACTTGATGATGGGTCGATTTTAAATTTGTAAGTGCACTGTGACATTTTAGAAACACAACCACTTTCCATTCAGTGCATCTAATGAGCATCTGTGGCCACTGCCAATGTGTGCTGAAAGAGAACTGACTGCACTGTGCTGGAAATAAAGGTATTTATGTGATGTATTACAACAGCATATCAACTTATTACATTCAGTCAGTCACAGTAATTTACAACACTACTGAACCTCGCCTCCATCCTTCTGTCTGAACTAGAATAACTAGATGCTGCCCAATGTTAGCAGCACAGATTGGTGTGAAAACTTTCACCCCGAGGTCTCTGCTTCAACACCTGGTAGAAAGATGCAGGTGGAGTCTGTTGATGACTGAATGTGGAGTTTGGTCGTCTCACATGTTGCCTGTGTGAGCTGCATGGATGAGGTCATTTGCCAAATCAAGCATTTCACTCTAAATATGTAAGTTACATGTACAGGTGCAGAAATGACAGTAAATTGGACAGGAAACAGAAACGTTCAGTCATAGAGGAAACTATTCTTGCAATCAATGCAAATTAAACATATCTGTTTTACTTTCACACACCCCCACCCCCGTGGCATCTCACATATACCTATGAGAATGATGTAGAACAAGGCCCTTATATATTTTTGGATCTCAGCATCTTGCACTATGTGTCACATTTTTTTTTGTGGTACTACGTGACATATTTTTAAAAGGCCATTCATTAGTGGCTGACTGCATGTCTTCTGTAGGTATTGTGGCCTTGACAAAAATGCACAGATGACAGACATATGCACGTTTCATTGCATCTTAGGCAATGACCTCAAATATAACAATTCATGATCAGCGAGCTTACCAAGACCTTTCTATAGTCACACCCCACAGATGTCTTTCTGACCAACTACAGTGTCAAACAGAGATGCACTTCCTTTTTATAGATGAAATGGAGAAGTAAGAAGGAGACGGCCACATGAGCGTGCCATTCATTTGGATTACTGACATCTCTCTCTGTACACGGCGTCTGTTGCTCTTTGCTTGCAGCACAGTTCGTACATATTTATAAAACCCTGTTCCTCTTGCATCTAAATCAAGACCACCAAGAGTGTAAGTGATGCATACTTACTTACTTTTTCAAACCTGTAAACACTGACAAATGGATTGAATAATAATAGTATAAACTTTGTTTTTGGGACACAACAGGTAAGACCTCTAAGAAAGAGGGATTAACATCCGTGTTAAAATCTGTATTTAAACATTTTTGTGGTTTGTTATGTCCTAAATTCTGATGATAAAACATTGATCCTTGAATTTTGACATTTATATATTTTTTTGGCTGTTTTAAAAACAGCCTCTACAAAAGGTACAGCCACTGTTTTAGGGTTTCATATTACTTTAACTTTCAGTTTCGGGAACATACAAGTACATTGAAGGAAAACAGTCAAAAACAATACAGTGATTATGATAATGGATACAGGAACCTGAAATATTCTGCAAGTGTGTAAGTGATAAATCTGAACAGAATCACACTTCCTCTTTCCTCTAAGTTGCATGAGACATGAAAGAAAAAAGATCCCTCAATTAGAGAAACAATGAAAATCAACCCTTTCAGTTAAGTTTCAAACAAAATAGTAGTGACACTTCAAATTCAATAAATTCACAACTAAATCAGTGTTAAATGTGATGTTTCAGTGTCACATATTAGACTACACTGCTGCTGACCATCCTCTGTTGTAAGGATGAAATGATGTTTCTTGTGTTCAATGTATTGCATCACACTGAGATCCCCTTCCACTCAGTGTTGTTTTTGTCTAAATTACCCTTTGAGCAGGTCTGTCAGTCAGACTATGTTACGCTCTCAACTTTCAGACCTACACGCTGCGCATGGCTCTTTCAGGCTGAATACTTGTTAAATTAATCCACATTTTGAACTGCCATGCCGTGTCTTCTCAGATACCAACATGAATGGCCTCCTCTTCCTGCTGTACTGTGTAGAAATCCTGGGTGCACTGCTGTGTGGAGTTAAAGGCAGCCCAGAGATTACCTCTGGAGAGATAGGATGGGATAATCATGATGATGAAGAAACTCCTCTCCCAACCAAACAGGACTCAACTCAACTTATTAACGACGACTCCAGCAGCGCGCCTGAAGACAGCAGACTGATCAATGTTGAGAATCTTACAACAGTCTCCCTATTGTCCAGTAGTCTTAGGACTTCACCTTCACCTGCCCCACAGAAACCCACCACCACTACCACCACCTCCTTCACCACCACCACCTCCACCTCCTCCATCAGGGCTCCTAACGGCATGTTTTTCCAAAAGGAATGTCTCACTGTGTACATGGTGACTGGCGGACTGATCATAGCCTGTAGTATTTTACTGGCTTCTACCTTGTTGTTGACATGGAGGGTGTGTCAGTTGAACAGACACCTGAAGATGCTGAGCACAGACGCCGACCTGATCAGCACCTCTCAGTACTGGATGGGGACTGCCAGGAAGACCAAAAGCAAGTCAGAGACACAAGCCAAAGAAACCAGCATGTTAATGGCTGACTTCAGTCAGACTCAGGAGGACATGGCTGACGGTACCACCAAGGATGAAGAAGCCAAGGTGGATGAGGATGGACAGAAGGGAGAAGAAAAGAAAGGAGACACTGCCAGCAGTGAGAAAGCTTCAGCAGGTGAGAATAAGAAGGAGACACCTGCAGCTGAAAATTCCTCCTCCTCTGGTCCCCCAGAAGAAACCTCTCCCCAGGCTGCGGCTGCCTCCTCCTCTGAGGCCACACAGAAACCAAAGGATGAAGTGTAGAGTCATGTTGATGGGTGTGCCAAAGAATTTCCCAAGAGACTGCCTTCACTTCTCTTTAGCGTTTACATTCACTTCACTGTAAATGAAGAATACAGTTTTTTTTTCAGCAGCTTTCACTTTTTAGTCATTTGTGTTTGTTGCTAAATGAGCATTCCTGGTTGGAAACGATTGGTTGAAACTGTATTTCCATCTAATTTGTGTTTTGTTTTATGAATATTAAAATATATTATTATTGTAATACACTTTTGTGTGATGTAAAATACAGCTTTTATGATGGAGAAATAAAACACCCATTGTAACCCCAGTCTTAGATTGATTGTGTGTGTGTGTGTGTGTGTGTGTGTGTGTGTGTGTGTGTGTGTGTGTGTGTGTGTGTGTGTGTGTGTGTGAGCCCTACTTGATTAGCAAGCAGAGAATGTGCGTCTTCCGGGCAGTAACACACAACTGAGAAACAACGCTTCCTTTCACCTCAGCCAGAACTGACAAAGCCACACAAAAAAACAACATGGGGCTGTTTCCGCCATCTTGTGCAGATATTTGTCCATCTACTTACTTGTGACGTCATGATGGATGTGCACCTTTCATTAGAAAGTCTGAATAGTTGTCGCAGTACAGCCTCTGCTGAGCTGGGCCTGAATCTAAAGTCTGTCCAGGCCAGAGAGGGTGGGTGAGGAAGTAACAAATGTATTGCAAAAGAGCCACTTAGCTTAGCTTCCATGACAAGTGAGCAAAGACAAGGACAAAATGAAAACAAAAAGAACAAAGACGCTCAGCTGCTGCAGTGGTTGAATAAACCAGGAATCTGCAGCGACACCACATTATTTAGTTGAATTGCTGCATGTTATCTGTGTCAGACTTTCTCTGGCCCTTCCAACCCAGTGTGATTTAGTGTGCTATACGTACAGCAGTGCAGTGCAGAGTGGAGAGCTGCCTGTATTGCTGATGACAGGTAGGAAGCTGCAGTGGAGGAGAATCCTCTGCAATAAATCCTGAGGTTTTTAGTGGCAGCAAAACAACAAGGAATCACAGCACAGCGTTACTTTGTAAAGGGATACCTTAAAGAGGAATACTATTGATTTAGGTGGCAGTTTAATTTGTTTTGATACAAGCAGCAGTGAAATCAGTGAATTAATCAAACACAATAATAACTGTCACTTCAAATGCAGAATTCATTCTTGAGAGCTTCCAGATTTAAAAGGGACTGAGGGGTTTCCTCTGAAACAGCCTCATAACCAGGAACCCCTCCATTATTCACCCCATTTCTCCTTACCCCCCTCCGAACACTCCGAATACTATTGATTTAGGTGGCAGTTTAATTTGTTTTGATACAAGCAGCAGTGAAATCAGTGAATTAATCAAACACAATAATAACTGTCACTTCAAATGCAGAATTCATTCTTGAGAGCTTCCAGATTTAAAAGGGACTGAGGGGTTTCCTCTGAAACAGCCTCATAACCAGGAACCCCTCCATTATTCACCCCATTTCTCCTTACCCCCCTCCGAACACTCCCCCCCCCC